ACATATATTCCGATATTAGCACTTTTTAATTCTGATTCTATGTTTATAATTGTTAGTTTTGTGCTTGAAATATTTTCAACTTTACTTCTCTAGTAATTTATTTTAAAAAGGTAAATTTTCCGTAGAAAATTAAATAAGCATTAGGAAAAGATATATAATTCTCTAGACCTCTGTATGCTCTGTAAGATTGAAACACGTTATTTATAATACGAGGACGTGGGCATTTCTCTAGCATTTTATTCAGCCTTTTGTTACTGTCCTGCACTTTACATGCTAATATAGTTGTAAAAAGCAACGGAACATTTTGACGCTGTAACAATCTTATAGTGCTCGTCTTCAATGTCATTTGTTCTCCATTAAATCCTACAATTACATTTGGTGGGACGTAGGAACTACATTGCACCTAAGATTCATAGGACATATCGTACATTTGAAAACATAGCGCCTTTTTCACGTTACGGCACACTCCGAATACGCCCTATTCTCCTATATCTTTTATATCACTTCTCAATCCTCATTCTGTCATTATAACTGTTATTTTTGTTGCTGGGAATAGGACATGTAATGTAATTTCCCAAGCTGATAAACTCTGCATATCCGTTAAACTTCTGCACACCTCCTCGTGCTGAGGTAGATACTTCATCCTGTGTTTTTCGCTGCAGTAAGAGATCATGGTACAGCCTCAACATAATGTTAAATTTTCGTTTCTTCCTTTATAAACATGACAAATGTTGGGGTGGGTGAACTTATTATAATCATAACCAGATATTTGGATTTCGTAAGAAGACTCTAACATTATTCTGAAAACAATTTATCTATGTACTGTCAAGTAATACTTTATCTATAATGCGAATTTTAAGAGAAAAATGTATAATACTTTTGAAAGACTGCATTTTTACCATAGTAAGAATACTTGATATAGACTAAATAGTTGTCTATTCTGAGATTACTTGAAGCACACTAACAGAATGTTTACTGATGTTTCTGCCTGTCATGGTAGCATATTTGTATTTTTAATACGTAATATAAGTGAAAATCTAATAAACATTGAATATCCGTTACCAAGTAGGATATCGTGAATAAATTCGAAACATGTAGTGACATGTAAAAATAATATAAGGAATATTTATTCAA